TCTTTGCAGTAACTGGACAGAATAAATTAAAGTTTTCTACACTTCTACACACTATAATTGCACAAAAAATAGTTTATAAATGCAAAAAAGTGCATTTAGCATGATATGTCTCCTTTAATGATCGAGCTAAGTATTCAGGAGTTACAGATGAAAATGTTTCACGTATCACACTAGCGCCATCTATTGGTGGACTCAAGCAGTTTTTTAGGATTATATAGAAGATAGTATGCTTTATTTTTGCTGTGAAAAATTTCTCAAAATCTCTGTTGGTTTAGGCTCCATAAATGATTTTATAAAAAAATTCATTTAGGAAAGTATAGGCCATGCCCACTTTATTTTTGCAAAATGATCTTGCTAATTTAGGTTAAAATCAAGGGTCTGTAGGTCCATGCAAAATTTTATGAATATCCGATATAAGCCATTTTTGCGTGAAATATTTTTGTGATTTATAGCACCCCCTATTCCTCAACAATAGTAAAATTTGGTCCACCAACTTAGACCTGACTCTTGTACTACATGTATGATTTTCATCTTATTTTGTACTACTATTTTGAAGATATAGCAAAATTTCTGTTTAGCTAGCTTGCCTAAGCTATTTGCCTGGGCATAACTCACACATTTTAAAATTGTTGTACTTGTCCTTCAAGACTTAGAATCACATACTAACTCAATAAAGGACGGTGAGTTTTGTGGTGATCGGACTTTAAATCTTAAAAAAAAAGGTGTTTTTGTAAATTTTGTGCTGTAGAAAAAACATTTAGGTGGAAATGGGCGTGGCCTATATCCTGTGACTCAGTTGTGTCCAGGGATTATGTTGCTATAAGCCAATTTTTTGTGTGACTTATGGTTTAGAAGCCAGCGGACCAAATGCAAAGACCTTGATTATGGCGCCCCCTATAGGTTGGCATGTCTGATTATTTTTCTCCTCCGTACACGTGTAGGGGTCACCTCGAGTGAAGAAACGGGAGTTACTGACTCAAAGCAGGTCTTGCACAGGCCTGAGAGAAAGGCASGAACGCTGGACTCTTATTTTAGGCCATGATGGGTCATTTCATGATTCAGAATGTTTACGCATTTGTTAATCATAATAACGACATGTCACAAAGAATATAGAATCACTTCTATTATTTTATCATGCCTAAAATAGACTAATGAATCACAGAAAATCATCACCATGTTTTTCATTTTCATTGTGTTTTTATAAATCACTGTTTTATTTTACTGAAACATCAGTAATATAATTTTGAGTTTTCTTAAGAAAATCTTACATTTATATGGACACAAGTTCAG